AATCAATCATTTATCCAACTAATAAATCCTTTTTCACTAATTAGCTATTTATAATTTAATGCTTACTTATTTAATTATTATGTATTTAAACACCCAAACATATTTCATAATAGCTTTTTTATTTATTTGTATGATTAATAAAAATCTATTCCTTTTCAATTTAATATTATAAAATCTACTTAATGAATAATGATAATAAAATCTTTTATTTAATAAAATCCATTCTATTTAGTTATCTAAAATCATTTCTATCTAAAATTAAGTCATTTATAATTTGATCTAATTTCACTAATAAAACTAATATAATCTCTCATAAAATCAATTCACATAATTTAATACAACTTTTTCTTAAAATCAAATCGCCTAAAATCAATACCCTTAACTCAATCAACGCGCGCACGATTCCCTACGTTCCCGCTCCAATCCATTCACATACTCACAACTCACACACTTGTATGTCTTTTCATGCGTTTGTGTATGCTTTTACTTTATCCGTAATTTATCTTTACTGTCGCTTTATCTTACCGTACTCATTTATCTTATCGCACTGCATAAACGTCCAACAGAAGAATATGCGCATAACGTGAAACTTGTGCATATGCATTTCATCTGCATCATATCTCCACTTGATTCTTGATCCCATTCAAGTTGATCACTTAAGATAGATCCTACCCCATAAGGAGAACCTTTTTCTTTATCTTTTACAACTTAGATAAAACAATATTCAACTCAATCAAACTATTCAAACAATTAGAGAATAAGATGTTAGTCATCTTGACAGTCGAGATATAAATCTCCTGCCCATAACAATACAATCAATATGTAGGGACTTTTCCGCCTTGAGAGAGATAGTGGCGTACTCGTCGATAAATCCGAGTGTTTGAGCCCTTCTCTTAAGACGATGCAAATACTATTTTCCTACAAGTTGTGGTGGCTAAGTCAAGTATTCTTCCTCGAGATGACAACTTGTCTTTTCTCCTAGACCCAATCAATCAACTACCCTTATCCCTTAGGAACTTTGACCAACAGTCAAAGAAGTTCCTTAAACCCTTTAGGGGAACTACAAATACTCTGATTCCATTCCTGTCAGGATATGTAGGCACAAGATGCGACATCTTGGCGAGTACGTAGAATTAAACCATTAGGTCTTTTATTCTTTAAGCAGATAACTCTTAGCAACAAACAACATAAAACAAGAGGTTCCTGTAGAGTACTATTGAAACTTAGGATGCTAGCATCTTCCCTAAGTTTAACCAACCCCCGAACCTATAACTCTCTAGCTTTTGCATTTGCATTGCATTGTGGGTGATTCGATCTTTTTCCCTTCCTTTGGACAAATTAAAAACCGGTTGTAATGAATTTAGATTCAAGCTAATCAATAGCTTGGTATCCAATTTTCACCGCGACATATACAACTTCAAACACTTGTAAAAATTCATATTGTTGTGATTTCCTTGTTGTCCAGAATTGTTGGAAGCAAGAGAGTGAATAAGGAATAATTGTTCTCTTGTTGCACTTTGTAAAGATCATAAGAGGATTTTCCTTATTGATTGTGTTGCTTATGTTAGAATATTGTTGGATAGGTCTTGGTGGAAGACTTGTACAAAGATCTGACATAGTGGAAACCTCTCGCGGGGAGTGAGTGGACTGGAGTACTCTCGGATTGTGAGGAGAATCAGGATATATCTTTGTGTCCTTTACTTTTTATATTTATTTTTCAACATTTTTATTTTCATATCATTTCTGAAAAATAATAAAACCAGTGTTAACACTTTAAATTAAAAAAGTCTACTAAATCTAATTCACACCCTTCTTAGAGACCGCGCATAAACTTACAATTTTTCGTATCTTGCAACATGTCAAAATCTGTCAATTTTTTTGGAATGTTTCTAATTCTTTGTGGCCTCTGAACATGTTCAGAATATTCTTCGGACAGTGAAATAGTATCATATGCTAGAACCCCAGAAATACCACCTTCAGAGGCATGACCACCTTTAGAGTCTGGAATATTCCTAGAGTCTAGATCTCCACCATAGTGTGAATCACCATTAGAATCTAGATCAAAATTAGCTCCACCTTCAGAGTTAGACTCGCCTTCAGAGTCACCTTCAGAATCATCTTCTGAATATGAATCATCTTCAGAACCTTCGGATTCTGAAGTATCTTTGAAAATTAACTCAGGTGTTAACACCACATTAGAGTTAGATTTAGACTTGTTCCAATCTCACGCTTCTGATTCTTTCACAATGACGACTCTGTTGACTTCAACCTTGTTAGTGACAGAACATTAGAGCTTATAAGCACTTGTACTATGGTACCCTACAAATAATATAACTCTTATTATGCCATCCTACTTCCTTCTCTTAGCATCTGGAACATGTTTGTAACAAACAGAATCAAACACCTTCAGATGGCTCACAATTTTTTTTATCTCTAGTCCAATTCTCTAAAAGGAACAGTTTCCTTCAGCTTCTTTGTTAGACACATGTTGAGCACATATGTTGTAATGGCAACAACTTCTCCCGGTAAGGAGTGAGTGAGCTTCTTCTCCTTTAGCATGCTTCATGTCATATCAAGCAAATTTATGTTTCTTCTTTCAGCAAGACCATTGTGTTGAGGAGTGTATGGAGCATTCACCTCGTGCCCAATTTCATTCTCCTCACAGAAATTCTTGAACTCTATAGAGTTGTACTCACCTTTACCATTAGTTTTGAGAGTTTTCAGCTTCTAACCACTCTGTTTTTCAGCCTTCACCTTGAACTTCAGAAACTCGGCAAACACCTCATGCTTAAACTTGATGAGTTTTACTCATGTCATTCTTGTGAATTTATCTACGAACGACATAACATACTTGTTTTCTCCAAATGAAGGTACTTCAAATAATCCACAAACATCAAGATGTACTACTCCCAAAGCATGCTTTGCTCTTGGGGGCTACTTTTGATGCAAAAGACAATCTAGGTTGCTTTCCTTTCATGCATATCTCACATGACTTCTCAGGCTTCACAATCTTAGGAATACCAGCTTCGTAGAATTTAGATGTCATACGCTTCTGAAATTAAGGCGCCCTAATCTCTTATGCCACAACTCACTCTCACCTTCAGTGCCTTCTGCACTGAGGCAATTAGTTTCAATTGTTTTCACATTCACCTTGAATGTTGTGTTTCTTCCCTACTCATATTGCATAATCAGCTTCTAATCAGAATCATACAACTTCAAATGATTGTTCTTCATAGTAACTGAGAAACCTTTCTCAATGAGCTGACTTACACTCATCAGATTGCTCTTCATGCCAAGAACATACCAAACGTCTTTGATCACAACAGTTTTACCATTCTTCACCTTGACTTTGAAATTTCCCATGCCTTCACCGTTGAGGTATTTATCATCAGCACATCTGATTTTTGTCCTCTTTCTAGAGTCAAAATCAATCAACCATTGTTTGTTCCAGTTAGGCGATTTGAGCAGCTGGTGTCAATATACCACCAGTCTATCAAATACGCACTATCAGACTCAGAAGCCATCAACAACACAGGTTCATGATCAGAATCTCCTCTGGCTATATTTTCTTTTTCCAATTTCCTTTCCTTGTTTGACAAACAATCAGTTGCGAAGTGCCAAACTTCTTGCAATAGTAGCACTGAACCTTCCTCTTGTCATACTTCTCCTTCCCCTTCTGAGCACTCTTCTGCCTTTTAGAAGTTGAGGTTTCTGACTTCTGAGCACCATCAGATCTCTTTCTGCCTTCTGACCACGACTGCTTTTGATATTTCTTACCAGAAGCTGCTTTCAGAGTGTGTCACTCTATCTCCATTTCAGAGTTTCTCTCAGTCAGACGCAACTTTTGTGTCTTTAGACTACTTTGCATCTCTTCAATTTTCATGGTGCTAAAATTCTTAGAATGTTCAACTGCTACCACGATATAATCAAATTGAGGAATAAGAGATGTAAGTACCCTCTCAATGATCTTTTCTACAGAGTTTCCCCACACAACTTCATCTCATTTGTGATCAGAATCACTCTAGAGATGTAGTCAGGTACCTTGTCATTGTTCTTCATGCTGAGATTCACATACTGCTTACGAAGAGACTAAAGTTTCACCTTCTTCACTGATGCATCATCACCGTAGTACCATATTAGTGTGTCTCACACAGCTTTCGTCGTCGAATCAACGATTTTTTCAAACACGCTTGAGTCTACATACTGATGGAAGTAGAACAACGTCTTTTGATCATTCTTTCTCAGATCACGCTGAACATTCCTCTGTGCATTCGAGCATTTGCAGGAAGTGCAACCGGAACGTAACCATCATTGGCGAGATTAAGAACATCTTGAGCGCCAAACAACACAATCATCTGAATCATCCACTGATTTCAGTTCTTGCCATCGAATACTTGAAGCTTAGTACTCAGATTATCGTCTCCATTCATCTTCAACCTTGTGCAATTCACTCAAATCTCACCAGACACTAGTGTTTTCCAATCCCGCAGAATCAAAAAATGTGACTGTTATAATTCCGATCAAATAATTCAACATGAATTCAAGAAACAAAATTAATCACGCACCGCCTCACCGTTCATTCGTGTTTCCCAATGTTTCCTTGTGGATCTGAACTGGAGCTGTAGATACCAATTGTTGGTGCACAAGATGAAAAATATGAAGATGGAAGAAGAGAGAAAAGAGAGAGAATTGAAATAACAAACTTCTATCACTCTTTCAAAACGGTTACAGTAAATGGTTACGTACACACTCTATTGACAACTACACTTGTTTATATACACAAACAATGATGTCACATAGACAAAATACTAACCTACACTAACTAGATTAAACTTAACAAAAACTAATACTCTTACTAAATATGAATTACTTCTAACAATACTCAAGACAAGAGTTTTACTAATAATGAATCAAATTAAATGACATATTTGATAATTTTTTCTCATTAAGAAATGTTCTTTTTCATTAGTGCACTGAATTACACATCCAAGCAATTTTGCTCAATGGATTTCATTTCTAATACTTGTTAAAAACAATCTCAACTCTTTAGCTTTCTGCTTGTGTTCAGGTGACACCTCATTTTCTGAATCACTCAAATTAATCACTTCAATATTTTGTTCACTTGATGAATTAAATTTTGAATTATTTGATGGCTTAAATGGAGTAGGGCTCAAAAGATCTATCACCACACTTTTGTCTGTACTAGAAACACACTCATTGCCTGTCATGCTTGATATGTTGCTGATATTCGGAGTCCATCCAATGTTTTCTATGTCATCGTCATCATGTGATGACATCGATTTTTCTGTGTTTAGAATAGCATCAACCATAGAAGTTGTTTCTTCTAATATCCTCTCAATAGAATCACTGGCGTCGTGATTGGTATTGTCTTCCAAATTATCATCTAACAACAGGTTCTGCAGTTTTAGGTCAAGCTCGGCCTGAGAAGGCGTGGTTTCCTTTTTCTTAGGTCTTCTTTTTTGAACATTTTGTTTCTTCCGCAGCAATTTTTTCTCCTCAAATTCCAAAATCTTCTCCGGACATGCACTGTCGATGATTAACAGTGAAACAACGATGATATATTTAATGTCAAAGATGACAAAATTCATGTAACATTCAATAAAAGAGTGTGTATTTGAAAAGAAGCATGATGCACATTGATAATAATCAGATGAATTACATTACCTTTCTATAAGATCTGCAGGTACTATTGATGTCTCAAGTCCATCCATGTCTTCCCATGAAACCTCGAAGCACTCTCTCCCATGCAGTTTTCGACTCTTGATGATTTCTGACACGGGACATTTCACAGGGATCTGCGGTCCGATAAAAACTATGCATGACATAAGAAGGAACTTGTAGATATAAATACAATTCATCTTCATGATTTAGAAGTGTTAACATGGAATAATTAAATATTAATAAGGTTTAGTGAATAGAGTTAGCAGTACCTCATGTAAAGGAAGGTTCAACCCAAGTTCAGACGAAGTTGATCGCAAATTGGCAAATTGTCGTAAATCCCTTTCTGCTATACAAGGAAGGATGTATCCATCTATTTCATGAACCAACAAATCAGCATTGCAAACAACTTCCAAAATTTCATCCAAGATGTAAATATAAACTCTACAGTTCAATATATGAACAATAAACAACCTGTTTTTTACCATATAGCAACCAATGCGCGACTAACAAGAAAAAGCATTTGAAATTAGATAAAGTACCTGTTCTCTCCGAAGGCCATCCAAAGTATACAGCACATATGTGATGGAGCTTAGTACGTTGAAATGGATACTGAGAATGAGCCCTACAAAAGATTTTGCAAATTCTTATTTTAAGCGCATATCTAATTAGTAACCAGATTCAGAACTGGAAACAATGAATTAAATAACATACTTGAGCACAAAATCTGAATCTGCCGAGTGGCATTTTGGCTTCAAATAAGCATCAATCACTTGTATAATGGTATCATCTCTTCCTATATTATTTTGAACTCCTGCATAAACAAAAAGATAGAAGCAATGACCAATCATTAGTTGGTCCAGTGGTGACTGACCCCTGAACCGGATTAGTCGGTCCAGTGGGCCGGATACTGGTGGTGAAAACAAAACCAGAAAAGATAGAAGCAATGATAAAAAGTTCAAAAGATGATGCGGTCAATACATTTGTATACCTTTTCTTTTTTTCACCCATCCAAGTCCTTCAGAAGCAAATTTTTTTAGAACATCTTTGTCCCCGATTGATTTTACTATCTGACAAGCTAACTCCTACAATACAGCCATAGAAACAATTATGCAAAAGCACGAGCAACCATATAATATGATCATGAAGGATGCGTTTAAGGACTTACCGGACCTAAACCATGAACTCCTTGATGATAGTCACTGCCAAGAAGCAAGGAGAGAGCAATCTGAAGATCACAGGTTACTTGGTTACTGATTTTCACCAGAACAAGAACTCAATACCCTTGAATTTTGAATTGACACCAAACAATGAAAGATCGTCTAAGAAAACATTGTGATTCTTAAGTATGTTAAAACATCAATCAGAAAATTACCAATGAATCCCTTCCAAATCCAAGTTTATTTTCAATGTCTGTCATCTCATAGCATACAACATATCCGCCATCACCTAACTCGTTAATAAAAAAAAACTCCTCATAAGTTTCATATGGAAGTACAGAAAAAATCCTTAGAACTTTACGAAAATACAATTACTAGAAAAATATATTCAACAATAATATTTAAAAATGAAATCAAATGATATACTCACCGAGGCAAATTTCCCTGTACACCGTCCTTGCACCAAAAAGAAATATATCTGAATCTGAACTGAAACATCCATCCTATAATTTTCAACAATCATGATATTAGCAAACAGCAATGGCATAAGTATCCCAAAAATAACTGATAATTACAAAGTAGGAAAAGATGGAGTTTGAAGACAGTTAAGTAGACAAGTGCTAACACATAATGATTCAGAGTTCAACAAAGCACACTGAGCTTCAGCTTCTTCAATCCTGCATTTTCGAAAAGAGCGGGACTCTATCAGTTCAAATTAGTGCAGTATCTTCATTAGCATCCAGCAATGCAACTTGTTCAATCAACTACCAAAAGAAATAAAAATTCGATAATATCATTTCTAAATATATGTTTAGTACCCCAACTAAAAAATTTTAATTTTTTATTAGTCCATAACTAAATTTTAACATCAACGTTTACCAGGCAAAATATGAGAGCGTTCTTTAAAGCAAAAGACCATTAAACTATAACTTCAATTAAATATTACCCATTCAAACAAGAGACGCCTAGAGCCATCCCTAAGGCTTTAGCCTCTTTGATCATACATGAAAACTCAGACCCCAAATTTCTTCTTAAAGATATCGCATTCTGTGTATTAGATTCGTTTTGATCTACCTGCAGGATGAAAGAAAAAGTCAACAGAAAATGTCTGTCAAAGCACAGAATTTGAATAAAGTATATAAAGGAAATGGCAAAAGAAAAAGAAATATGGAAGGTCTGCTAACCTCCTTTACATTGTTTAAGCGACGCCTATAAGTTGATAATTTGATGGCAGGTATTGACCCGTCTACAAGGAATGAAATAGTACTTCATTAGGAAGGAGTAAAAAGTTTAAAATATCATAAAAAGTTTAAAACATCATAAAAAGTTTAAAACATCATAAACAAGAAAGAACTAAGTTTCATCTAACCAGGACGCCTCTTAGCAATCTAAGAGCACCAACTAGTATATTATTACAGAAAATGGGAAAGAATCCCCTTGCATTACAAACAATGGCGTTGCTTGTAGGGTCTATCTACAACCATTCAATGTAAAAAGGCCTTATTCCTCTCAAATGACAAGATGATTCTCTCTCACTATTTATAGGCAGCCTGTCTTATTTGGCCTAACTAGCTCTCAACACACTTATTAACTAACTTCTTAACAAACAATAACAGACCTATCGGAGTTAAACTCGAGTTTCCTAGGAATCAGAATACATATTGGGAGACAAATAAATGATTGGTGGCTGACATCATTCAGGTTGTGCATAATTTAGTGGATAAGATCCTATTGGGAGAGACTAGGTCTCTCTAAGAGTCTCTTTATCCTTTTCTTACTTTTCTGCAAAATTCTATTCTTCTTTGAATGACTAGATCCCGTTTGATCTCTAGTCCTTTTCAATAAAGGAGGATCGGTGTTCGAAATCATTTAAAAAAAAGTGTCTCTTATTATTAGAGTTTGACCTAATTCATTGTTACAAAACCAACTTGTAAAGTGAGCATGCCTCTCTATATAAACTCTTTCAATGTTCTATCTCCAACTAATATAGAAATTGAGATTTTCCCAATACACCCCCTTCACGCCTAGCACTCTTTTTGGGTTTGGCGCATGGATTTAAACGGTGGCGGCCTAAGGTCCCATCAATAGGCTCTGACATCATATTAGAGTTTAGTCTAACTCATTTTTACAAAACCAACTTTAAAACCGGCTTGTGAGGTGAATGTGTCACTCTAAATAAACTCTTTCAATGAGATTTTCCCAACACTGATTGACAACAAATTTCAGAAAATGCACAATTTATTGGTTCTGTTTCATCACAAATTTCACAAACACACACCACATACAAGAAAAAGAACAATCGACAAATAAGAAAAGTAATGTAAGAAAAACCTGAAACGAAAACGACGGTGCAATTGAGGGAAATGAGAGCTCTAAGACGGTGAAAGAGACCTCTAAGATAAACCCTCTCATTCAAACAAGCATGGGACACTTTATGAAGCTGAACCACCCAGCACGATAGATCTACACACACCCTTTTGTTCCTGTAAATCAAAATCCCCATGTTACACGATTCAACAGGAAAAAACGCATTTTTGAATTGTGATTTGTGAGCGAGTGTAAACTAACTGGAGACGATGAAGAGGAACCGTTTTCTTGCAAGAATCGAGAATGTCCCATAAATTCCTAACTCCCATGGTAATGCTAATGGAGAATCAGAGACTCTCAGAGGGATTGTTTCAGACTTTTTGAAAATTCAAACGTTCATTCAAAATCTCTAATTTTAAACTTCGACACCGTTTTATTTATTTATTTTATATTAAATGAAGTCCAAATTTAAATTAAGTTTGTTTACGTCATTCTATTTTGTTTGTGTAAGTAATACTCATTCTCTCACAAAATTATAAATTATTTTAAAATTTCAATATACCATTAATTATTTTTTTCTAAAATATCCTCAATCATTTATTATTATTTTTTTCTATTTTTATAATTTTGATTTCTAATATAATTAACGAAGGACAATTTTATAAAGTTATAGATGATTTCACTTTCCTATGCAACAATTATTGTATTTCTTAATTAGTATAAAATACATAAAACGTCTTATAATTTAGAATAGAGCGAGTATGATTGACAAAATTATGGTTCGTTAACTCTCGCTAATTTTTTTGATAGATACTTTTATTTTTTGAGTAAGTTTTTCATTTGATTCCTTTGAAAGTGTTCTTAGTTTTTTTAAAGACGAATTATCATACCTAATGTACTTTTTTTTAAGCAAATAGAAATTATATTAAATAAGGACAATACTCTTTCCACCCGCACCATCATTAGAAGTCCATAATGCCTTTAACATTTGGAGATGTATCATTGGACAGAACAATTTTAGTCATTTTTTAGATCAAATTAAAGAGACACTCATTGTTAAAATATAATTCGAAGATGCATCTTAGTATGTGTAAAAAGTGCGTCTAAATATGTATCTTCGTAAACACCATTTATTCAAAAGTTTGTGAGTGGTTCGAAAATGCATCTCCAGACGCTTTTGTTTCATATCTTGCGCCAAAGCTTCCCTCTCCCTCCTTTATTTTCTTAAAAAGTTCTCAAAACAACATCTGAGCTCTGCAATATTGAACATTCTTATCCATTCATCCAAACACCATTCACCGGAGATCTGCAACATTGAAACTTCTCATCTTTTCCAGCATCTCAAATATGCAAGATACTTTTCATTATTTTGATTAGGTAAGTATTTCAAGATTAATTTTTTTTTTTAATTTGTAGATAGTTGTTTAGGATACATTAGATGCATTATGTGCGATAGACAATAGTGTAAACGAAATGGTAGGTTATGTCAAACATGCATTGAGTGTTTTGGGGAATGGTAGGGCAAAAAATAGGTTGCTGCCATGGAAGAAAAATTGTAGGTTTATCTAGAGATGCATGTCTAGATTTGCTTCGTATTTTTTTCGGAGATGCATTTCCAAATCGTACTCAAGATAAAAAAAAGGGATTTTGTGGAATTTGTGAATTTCTCCTAACATGATGTTTATATATGTCTCTATTTCCAATGCATATGCAGTGGTTGAAAATAATGTTGGTTGAGTTAGGCTCGAACGTGTGTCCCGAACAACGTCAGTATGAAAAGAGAGGGTCGCGACGGTGAGGACCACAAGGCCACGAGTTACTGATAACTCGTTTGATGGTGCATATACTTTGCACCGATCATCTGGTTCTCATATGCAACTCTCGTAGACCTCTTAGGCATATGATACAACAAAACCTGAAGTTCCTGAAGCCTTTGTTAACTCTGAAGCCCTTAAAACCCATAAGGAAGTTGTTGTCGATCCTAATGACCAATTAGAGAGTTTCCTAGGAGGTCCATTTGACACCTTCTTACTTCATCTTTATACAGTCCATGATGTTAGGCATGGCTGACACAGAGAGAAATATTTCTTTTCTTTTGCAACACATATGTTGTTGACTAATTAAATTCATACTGATGGTTATATTTTTGATCTTACCGGTTGATCAGATCCTGAGGTGGGCCAAAGACAAGCGTCTGTGATGCTGGATGTGAAAGAGGGGGAGGGGGTGTACCTACAAGGCACTCCGAGGCTAAAGTAAGAAAATGAGCAAGTACAAAATATGTGTTTCAGGGGGAATATTGGATATCTGACCCTCTCAAGTGAGAGGGTTTATATAATTCCCCCAGCGCTTGGCCATTGGTCCCTATTTTCGGGGTGAGATAACTGTTTCCTGAAGAATAGGTAACTGTCAGAACTAGTTGTTGGGACGGGCAGACGTGTCCATAACTAGCCGTTGGCATGGGCACAAGCATTTTGGCTGTTTCTGAATGGTGGAACCGTGCATGACGGGCAGAGACTGACGAGGAAGAGTGTTGTGACCATGGGTAAATTGGCCAACCTCCTCTGTTGGAGGGGCAGAAAGGTAAATTCTCCCTCCAAAGTGGTTGGACTTAGACAGTTGGGTCGTTCTGGGAGCAGAAGTGGATTGGGTCAGTCCGAAAAAGTAACCCCCCAAGTCCTTGCTACCGAGCACGGTAGTGATGACTTAAGGATAATCAGCTTTTCGGGCATAGTCGTTGTAAGCTTCCTCGTGTCTGGAGAAACACTTGCCCGAGCGTCTAAAGCGTTATTGTCGGGGAGTTTGAGATCCGAGGAGTCCAACAGTTGATAGGATCTGAAGATTGGAGGTTCCACGCGTTCATTGAGCCATGTACTGCATTAAACATGTGATGATGGCTAGGCTAGGGTCATGATGATGCTTTACCCACACGTGCTCGTGCATGTGCCTGTCATTTGCCTATAAATTGTGAGAGGTTTTGTTCATTCAGAACTTTCGCTTATCTATCTTCTTGCTTATTATTCCCCATTATCTATCGCTCTCTGCCTTCAAGTTTTTCTCATGCCACCGTACGACGTCCAACCAGAGCTATTTAAGTCCAGAACTTCTTCTTCGACCAAGTAAGTATGTCGATTCCTTGCTTACTCTTCATTTTTTTGGTTTGATGTTGTAGAATGCACATGGTTAGGACTGAAATGAAGTAGTTCTAGGGTGTTTTTGTGGTGGATGCTGGTGGCAGACGGTGGCGCAACCATTTTCTCAACTGTCACTGTCGTAGTGGTTGTTTTTAGGAAAGAGCAAGTTAGCAAGCCATAGGTTTTAGTTGATCCCGAAGTAGTGACGACACAACATTGTTTGCTGCCAGAGGGGGCCATGGACTCTAGTGGTTCCCTTATGAGAGTTTTGGGTTTTATGCGCAGGGATCTTTCCTCAGACGTGTCGAGGAGGACCCCCGGGCACTGATATCGTTTAGTTGTGCCACTTGAGTAAGGCTTAGGTAAAGGATTCAATCTTTTGCCCTTTGTGAGCTCTTTCACTTGACTAGCAGTGGAAGGGTGGATTTGATTTTGTCGTCGAATTCACTCTTTTCCTATGCTTTTCAGATAAAAGTGATGTCGCGCAGGTCTGATGAGGATGAACACCTCAGGGATTTGTCTGAGGATAGCTCCTCGGAGGATACTGAAATGGACGATGACTCCTCGTCCCTTGATGTTGGAGGGATGGCTATCACGATGACATCGGCCGATGAGTGAACCGTAGCTGAGCCAATGGAGCATGCCTCGCTTTTTGCTTTATACACTGAAGACGCATTTACTACGGTAGGGCCGGAGGGAGAGTGGAGAGTCCACTTCGCCTCAGAGGACAAACGTATATGTTCAGCATATAGATAACGATTTCCCATGTAAGAATACGTTTTTAAAGAAATAGGACTGAGGTTGCCCTTCACGAACTTTCAAAGGGCAGTCTTCGTGCATCTTGACTTGGCACCTTCCCAACTTCACCCAAATTCCATTGCCTTCATGTGGGCGTATGAATTGGTGTGCGAGTACTTGCAGATTGGGGCCACCCTTCCACTCTTCTTCACCATATTTCATCTTCAACGACAGGTGCCGGGGAGGGAGTTCAGTTGGGTTTCCTTGAAACAGGGAAGGAAATTGTTCAAGCCCTTCTCCGAATCTATCCGGACCTTTAAAGAGAGATTTTATGTGATCGAGTCGGTGTCAGAGAGAGCTACTGATTTGACCTTTGTGTGGGAGGTCTCAATGAATGATAAAACGGGGAGGACCTGATAGACGAGGAGGGTAAAATAGTTTTCAGGTGGTTGTTTACATTCCCCTTCTGCTGGAGTGGGGCTCACTTTATCCGTTCGACTAATGAGTACATAGTTACTCCTCATCAGTTGGTCGATGATGATCGGGCTAGCTATGCCAAGTTCGTGGCCTTTGTGGAAGGCTTCCTTCTTGTTCAATACAAAGAATAGAAATGAAATCACTTCATTCAGACAAAGAGAAAATGAGTTCATGTTTCATGCATGGGAAAGATTCAAAGAGTTTCTTAGACAATATCCTCCCCACGTGATACCTATTTGTATACAACTTGAAACATTTTATGATGGGTTGATTCCATCCTCAAGAAACATGTTAGGTGTTTCCAGTGGTGGGGCTTTATTGTCCAAATCATATGAAGAAGGATACAAATTGATTGAGAGCATTAGGACTAACACTTACCAATGGCCTATAACAAGGCTGAAGGAAGTACAACATCAAAGAAACTTGCTTTTGTTTATCAAGTTTCTGAATCCAATGCTTTTGCTACTCAAATAGCCTAAATTCATCAAATGATGAAGAATATGATGACAACTCTTGAAGTAGCCAAACCTGAACCAATCAAGGTGGTTACTGACGTGACTACGATTGCTTGTGTGTATTGTGGAGGAGCACATTTATTTGAAGAATGTTCAACAAACACTGTGTTTGTTAACTATGTTGGCAATAACAAGTATAACAACCCCTACAACAACACATATAATCCAGACTGACATAACCATCCTAATTTTTCATGGAGCAACACTCAAAATCAACTCAACAAACCCCTAACAACACAACATACTCAAGCACCATAAGTCCCACCTAGTTATTATGCACCAAACTATCAGCACAATCAAACAGGACACCATATGGAAAATGTTCTGAAATATCTCATTCAAGAGGCAAAAAAATCAATTTCAAACATAAGGAGCAAGTATCAAGAACCTCAAAGATCAAGTGGGACAAATTGCTACTGCCCTTAGTTCTAGAAACATGGGAACTCTTCCCAGTTCTACTGAAGC